TTAGCAAATCTCAACTTCAACTTTTTTATAATATTACATTAGCAGAACCAATGATCTGAACACATATATCAAAACAATTCTCTTTTTCTGGTTTCTTGATTCCGTTTACATTTTCGTATAATTTTTATGTTATTTACAATAATAAATTGGTATCCTTTTTTGTATATAATACCATTGAGGGTCGCGAAAATTTCTAGTGGGCCCAAAAACTATTGACATCTTTGCAGCTACATTCACCATTTCAAAGTACCTACTTTGAGACTGATAGAAAATCCATTTAGTAGTTCTGGCAAAAAATAGTGCACCGACAAACAAACGTGGTGTGAATACTATTTTTATATGTATTGATTGATTAGTGAATAAACATCACAAACACCATTATAGTAATTAAATAAATATGATTAAAGCCATAATGAATAATAACGGATAGTATGTAATATTATCTTTATATGCTATATAATAAGAAAGATGTTTTAAACTGGTTGTATAGGCATAAAAACACAAAGTAAAATACGACAGCATTTATTACTGTGATCATTTTAAAAGTAGTCTATTAATAGTGGAACACACAGACAGGCGCAGTATCAAGACTTTTGTTTAATATGTACCTTTACTAATCAACCAATGATTAGTAAAGGTGTAGTGTGTAAATTTTGTTTTAAATATATTAACTGATTAGTTATCTTACCCCAAAACATCATTAAAGCCAAAATGACTAGGCAATTATAATGATTATTTATGTTTTTAAACACTGATAAATATGAAGTAAGATGTTTTAAGCTTGTTGTGTAAGGATAACAAAAACTCATATATGTAAAGGGTAGCTAAGAATAATAATTATTTCGTTTGCACGAATTAATTATTCAAAGAGACAAGGATGAGCTAGTAATGGAATACGACAAGTGCATGGTTCCACGCCAGAGCCAAGACTGCCTTAACGGCGTTTTTTTTTCGCCCAGAAGCAATTGAAAAGGTCTACACTCCAGAAAGCGAGCAAGGGAGGTGGTGAATGCTCTAAGCATACCACGACATCCTACTGTCGTGGTTATGTGAAACTCACTGCGACTAACCTAACCTGAACTAAGTGCCTACCCTCTAAATACCACCTGTGAGACTGGCATTGGCTTATGAGGCCTTTCTGCCGAATCGGAAGCGACCCTCTTTAGGGAAAAGTGGGCGCAGGCGGCGACGAGCCGCTGAGGGGGAGCTTAACTAAGGCAAATTAAGAGTCGGCCTGAGCAGCCAGAAGTCAGTTCAGGTTTGGTGGGTCCGAAAGAGAGTTTCTCGGTCTTCGGAGTCGATAGCAAGAGGGGAGTGGGGCTGCATAGGAAGCTGCCTCACGAATGAAGTGATTAGATTGAGACTCTGAGGCTATGAAGAAGTTCTCAGAGAGTGTTTTCAGAAATTGCTGGACTGTGGGGAGCTTAAAGTCTCGATGGAAGTCGGCGTTACGGACGTACCAGGGTACGTTCGTAGCTTGACGACAGAAGAGGTTTTGAACCATATGGAGTTCGTTAATGATTTTGGGATTGGCGTGGGCGTATATGGGGCCCGCGTAAGTCATGACTGGTCGTATACAGATTTTTAACGTATCGCCGATTTGGTCGATAAACCTTCGTCTAGGGCGTCCCTTCCCGACCCTCTCGTTCACTTCTGCAACATAAATTTGCTTTGTCACTTTATCCTCGTTCATTCTTTTTACATGAACAAACCACCGAAGCATTCCTTTCTTAATCCTTGTCACAACGTCATCTTGCAAACCACACTTTTCTCTTATCCCACTATTTCTCACCCTGTCATTCAGATTCAGCCCTAGCATACTCCTTAAGGACCGAATTTCTACAGCATTTACTTTACTTTCATGCTTCTTCTGCTAAACCCAACTTTCACTACCATACATTAAAGTAGGGACTAACACAGCATTATGAATTGCCATACGTGCCTTATTTGACACATTCTGACTCCTCATAATAGCGTGTAGAGCCCCATTCACTCTATTTCCTGCGTTCACTCGTCGTTTTATATCCTTATCATATCTACCATCCCTGCTAAATAAACATCCCAAATATACAAACTCATACACTTGCTCAATCAACTCCCCTTCTATTCTTATTTCACATAAAGTTTTACTTTCTTCTCTTTCAAAACCTTTCACTTTCGTCTTACTTCCGTTCACTTTCATACCCCTTTCTTTCAATGATCAATTCATTAAAGTAACCATCATTTGCAACTCGACTGCCGACGATGCAAATATGACTTGATTATCGGCGTACAAAAGGCATTTGATGGTTGACTCACCCATTCTCAACCTACATTCTTCCACTTTCAAAGTTTGCAAACAACTGTCCATAAATAAGTTAAACAGCCACGGGGAAGCCACACATCCCTGTCTGACACCTTTATGAATGCCAAACCAGTCCGAGTACACCCCGTTGATCCTGACACAAGCACTAGAGTCCCTATAAAGAGACCTTAATGCCTGTATCAAGCCAGCGCTCAACCCAAATGAGTTCAGTGTTTGCCATAACACATTCCTGTCCACTCTGTCATAAACCTTTTCCAAGTCCATGAACGCACAAAATACTTTCTAGTTTTTGGCCAAAAACTTCTCCGCTATCATGCGCATGGAAAAGACTTGATCCGAACACCCCATCCCCTTTCTGAATCCAGCTTACACATCCCACATTTTTCCATCAGTTTCTTCCATAACTCTTTCAATTAACACAACCCTTATATATTGGGACTATAACGGCTTTGCACCAGTCTTCCGGTACCCGCTTCAGTTACCAACATAAATTAAACAAAGTGCACAGCAGGCCTGCAACCACATCCTCTACATCTAGCATTTCGAGTGATATTCTATCATATCCGGCTGCCTTACCAGCTTTCATGCTTTTCGTTGCATTATTTCATCTCCACTTATCTCCCTACCTCTCTCCACTTTTTCCGGAATTTCTATTTCACTTACTTCAGACGACTCTTCACTCTTAAACACGCTTTCAGAGTATTCCTTACATCTGTTTAAATTCGAAACTTCATCATTCAGCATCTCGTCTCGTATAGAATTCATTCTAGGCTGTTTTGAATTTTCCCTGGCAGCTCTTAGGAGCTTCCAGAACATTTTAATATTTGCCTGGAAGTTATCAGATATCCTTCTATCATTCTTATCTTTCCTTTATTGCTTTTTCCTTTCAACAACTTATTTTACACTCTTATTTATACGTCTAAAGTCTGCCTTTTTTCTTTCAATCTCATCATTAATACCGCCAGAATTACCAGCTTTAGTTGCTGGTAAATCTAGCCATGTTCTCTTTTTTGCTTCAACTTCCATCCGTACCTCATCATCCCACCACAACGTATTACTTTTCCTTTCATTCGTTCTCTTAATTACACCACATACTTCGGTGGCTGCATCCACCAAAACTTTCTTAATATTATTCCATACATTCTTCAAGTCTAAATCATTCATTCATAATTCATTCAACCACTTATTTTCCCTCAGTCTGCATTTATACTTCTCTTTCACACCTTCATCTTGTAACCTCTCTATTCTTATACGCTGTAACGCAGTGGTAGACACAGATGTACGATGCTGCCAACGTCTGAATAAACCATTAATTCGGCATAAGACCAAGTAATGATCCGTCCCTACGTTGGACCCCCGGTATCCGGACCCTTGTATCTACCACTGCGCTCCTCATTCTTTCATCCACAATTATGAAATCTATCATGCTTGTATCATCCCCTCTTTCCCATGTACACATGTGAATCCTCTTATGGCGAAAGAAAGTGTTCGCCACAAAAATATTCTTTTCCACACATACGATGAGGAGGTCTTCACCATTCTCATTTATTCTTTCATCGCCAAACGTTCCTAATATCCTTTCATAACCAGACCTCTTCACCCCCACGCTTCCATTAAAATCTCCTAACATAATAATATTTTCATTTTCCTTACATTTCATCAACATCATCCTTACCATGTCCCAAAACTGCTCTCGGATATAAGTGGGCTTAGACATATTTGGGGCGTACACCCCTAGCACAAACAACTTCTTTAAACCTACTTTAATTCGTATCCACAGCAGCCTTGGGCTTACACATTCATACTCTTTCACACATTGCCTCATTCTTTCTGAAAGGATGACACCGACTCCCTGGCATGCCCGCTCGGTCTCGTCTACTCCAGACCAGTAACCGGTATACATCTCTTCCCTTTCGTTTCGTCTCGTTTACACATAACACATCTATTTCTCTATCATTCATCATTTCGCATACTTCATCCATCTTATCATTCATTGCTCCACATATATTCAGCGTAGCCAGACGGGCCTACGCAATCCACTTTTCGCCCCTCCGGGAGACAGGACGTGACGGGTGGCGAACCTCGCCGCCGGTTTTTCTCCCAGAGATTCTTCGCACCCCTGCCCCATTAAAGGGACGCCGGGAACTAGGGGCCATTTCTTTTTCTTCTTGGCTCATGGTGCAAACTAAGGGGTGGTAGATTTTACGCCGTTATCATACGGCGAGGAGCCGAGTCTATCCTATCGGCTTTGTCGGCTTTGTCGCTCGTTTAGCACCACCCGGGGGACACGTGTAGGGTGGGCCTAGGATTAGGTGGTCGAAGCCTACGGACGCGAGCGACTCATCCCCCAAACTAATATACTATTAAGCAATAATAATTATCTTGGATGGAAGAAGAAATATAAAAATAATTTGTAACAAAATGAAACAGCTTTGTTCCGCCAATCGAATGAATTACAACAATAATTTTTTAATATAACATTATCTGAACCAATGACGTGAACACAAATATCAAAACAACTCTTTTTTTTTCATATTTTTTATTCCGTTTAGATTTTCATAAAATCTTTATGCTATTTACAATAATAAATTGGTATCTTTTTTTTTGTATATAATAATACCATTGAGGGTCGCGAAAATTTCTGGTGGGCCCAAAAACGATTGACTCCTTTTCATTTTTCTTTTTTCTTTTTAAGGCGTCGATGTTAGCTCTAACCCATTGGCTGATACATACTCTGGAAAAAATGCATTTTCTGAACGGGAAAGTGCAGCTATGGCTACTTATGTGCGGTCAAAGAGCGACAGATTGGATTTTTACTTGGCATTCCACTCATATGGTCAACACATGATCATACCTTACGCTTATTCAAGACAACATAGGGAAAATTTCGATGAAGTGGTAAACACATATTAATTTATTAATGTTATACGTTGCAGAGCCATGGTGCATCTATATTATGATTGTACTACGAATGTGTCGGCTCAACCGGGGTAGGACCACTCACTCACAAAATACCAGCGTAAAATAGCAGCTTAATGCTGCTGTGTTTTGTATGGTGAGTATAGAAAACCGGAACCATTTTTACGGGAAACGATGCATTCCATCTCAGTTCTCAGGACTGACAACTCATCTGTAATGTGATTCTTAATTGAGGATGAAATGTAGATGTCTATGGGCCTCAGCATTCACTTACCATCAGGTGAACTGTGTGCTCGTTTGTCATCCTTATTCTGTAAATGAATGTCATTATTAACTCATTAACTATCCACTAAATAATTGGACGTATTATAACTTTCTACATCATCTTCGTCGGCCACTGGCGCGCTACGCTTGCTCAGCTCACGCTTTGTGGTCACTAGTAACCTAAAGGTCACAGCTCATTAGAGCCACCTCGCACCCGAACCCTCACCACCTCGTCGCCAGGCGTCCACTCGTAGTCGACAAGTGGACCACGGGTGGACGCCGCGTTGTAACCAGTGAACCTCGCGTGGTCATCGAGTGGACCTTGCGTAATCAACGAGTGACCCTCGCGTGATCATCGAGTTTCCGATTAGTCTACCAGCATTTGGCCCAAGGTGTGCACGTGTGTTCAGTGATGTCAAATTTTACAATCCGTGAATTGGCCCTCATAGCTGTCTTGATGATGATAAAAATGAAAGAAGAAACAAAAAAAGAAAGCTTAATGGGTGCACGAAATGTTTAAAGAAAGAAAAAAAGAGGGTGAATATTGGACCTCTCGTAGGCATTTGTTAGCCGATGAGGGCAAATTTTATTCATACTACTTCATACTTCCGAACTTCTTGTATAAGTTTTTCTTTGTTCATTTTAAAAACAAACAACAATGCGTCCGACACATTCGAAAGAAAAGCTCGAAATGAAGGGTTGGTGGAGAGTGCCGCATCGCACTCGCGTGAATCGCGCGTTGCCAGCTCGCGCTTCACGCGAGGCAAGCATGCCAACAGCGAGCTATCACCGAGTGGTCCACTCGCAGTCCGCGCGTGGACACCTCGTGGGCGAGGCAATCCGGTGATAGTACGGAGTTGATGTAGTGAGCGCAGGCCCATACAAATCCGTACGAAGAATACGAACCACTCGAGGCGAGGCGGTGAGGTTCGGGTGCCGGGTGGCTCTAATGAGCTGTGACCTTAAAGCTCCTCGTCGCTATTTGTGTCTTGACATGTCATTAATTGTTTTGCTTTTTTACGTCTATTTAAATGAAAGAAAAATTGTATTATTCGATCAGTAAATCACATTATTTGTATAAAGAAACATATTCAATTTATTGATCGATTCACAAAAATATACAGAAAATAAAATATTATTTCAATTGGTATAATTATAATAAAAATTGGACAGAACCTCACCTCAATATCAATTTATATAAATAAGCTTATGCCCGTTAGTCGCCACATACCTTTATCCCACAGCTTGCTTTTTTGTTTGAATGTTTCAGATTTAAATAATTACTTGTGTTCAAAATGATTTCTTATATTTACGCGAACACTACACATTGAACAAAACTATTTGTTACGGATTTTATCGCGTTTAATTTTACTATTTTAATTATATTTAATTATATAAAAATTAAAATGACGTTGAGTATAATTAACAGCGAACCCGGTAAAGAAAAACCTCGTTACTCAAACTATCAATTAAAAATTAATACTGAATTGACTAAATCAAATCAAGAAGTCGCAGCGGTGTTTGAAAAATATTTCAATGATATTCCTATCTTGACAACAGAGTCACTGAATACTTCTCCAATTGTCGCCGAGTCATTACTCAAACAGAATGTTAATACCTGTTTAAAAGAATTTAGATTTGAAAAAGTGTTACCGCAAGATATTGTAAAATACTTCAAAACCATTGATGTAAAAAAAACAGCAGATTTTTGGGGGATTTCTGTTACAGTTATTGCGTCCATAATAGATTTAATAGCACCTCATCTTGCTATTATTTTTAATACTTGTATCGATTCTGGTATATTTCCTGATTTAATGAAGTGTAGTAAAGTAATACCTTTATTTAAATCTGGTAGTACATTGGACCCCGCTAATTTTAGACCTATTTCTGTACTACCAACTCTCAGTAAAAATTTTGAAAAAATAATTTTGGATCAATTGTTAATTTTTTTAATACTAATAAATTACTTCACAAAAATCAATTTGGTTTTACAAGGGGTCGCTCGACGTCTGACGCCGGTGTTGAGCTTATGAAATATATATTTAATGCCTGGGAGAATTCACAAGATGCCTTAGGTATTTTCTGTGATCTTTCCAAGGCTTTAGATTGTGTTCATCATGAGACATTAATCAGGAAACTACAACATTACGGTGTAAAAAATTTGGCGCTTAGACTTATTACTTCATATTTAAATAACAGAATTCAAAAATTTGTGATCAATGGTAAATAATCCTCCGGATCGGTAGTATCAATGGGCGTTCCTCAGGGCTCGATTCTTGGCCCATTCCTGTTTTTAATATATATTAATGACTTACCTTATCTTGTAGGGGACAATCACGATATAGTATTATTTTCTGACGATACCTCTTTAATTTTCAAACTCCAATGGCAGTTAATTAATTATGACGATGTAAATAATGCTCTATCGAAATTAGTACATTAGTTTAACACCAACAATATGCTCTTGAACGGCAATAAGACAAAGTGTATTAAATTTACAATACCTAGTGTAAAACATTCGAATACCAATGTGCTGTTAAATGGGGAGGAGTTGAGTCTTGTGGATACCACTGTTTTTCTCGGTATTACTATTGACGCGAAACTTCAATGGGGCCCCCATATATCTAAATTAGCAAGCAGACTTAGTTCTGCAGCATATGCTGTAAGAAAGATTAGAAGTCTCAAAGATGTTGAGACAACTAGATTAGTGTAATTTAGTTACTTTCATAGCGTAATGTCTTATGGAATTTTGCTATGGGGTAATGCGACTGATATTGAAGCTATATTTATTTTGCAAAAGAGAGCCGTTCGGGCGATTTATAACCTAAATTAAAGAGTCCCTCAGACAAAAATTTAAAGAAGTAAACATCTTTACTTTGGCATCGCAATATATTTATGAAAATGTAATGTATGTACATAAAAACATAAATAGCTTTAATAAGAATAAGCATGTGCATACTTTAAACACTAGAAACAAACATAAGCTTGTAATACCAGTTACTAGACTTCACAAAATCAGTAATTCATTTATGGGGCAATGTAGACGCTTTTACAAAAAATCCCAGAACATATTCAAAGTTTGTCAATAAACAAGTTTAAAAATTTTATTAAAGAAAGACTGTACAAAAAGGGTTATTATAATATCAAGGAATATATGAATGAAAATAGCCCCTGGGAATAAGGTGATCACCACCATGCTGGTTCTATGATAAATCATTTAAAATTGTATAAATGAAATTATTGTTGAGACAACAAGCTTCGGGTCCCGCGCCTACGTCACATTGACCGAGTGAAGCCGACCACAGTCGAGCGTGTGCCTGCTGTACTAACCTACGTCAGAGGAGTCACAGACAAGGTTGGCTACATTTTGGAGCGAGCTTCTATTAAAACATACTTCAAGCCGCTGAAGAAGATTAGTCAATGTTTACCATTCGTCAAGTGAAATATCCCTCTACAAGATGCAGGAGTGTACAAACTTGATTGTGAATGTGGTCTCTCTTACATAGGACAAACAAAAAGATCCATTAAAATCCGCGTGAAAGAACATATAGCTGATGTGAAGCACCAACCCTCTGGGAAGTCTGCAGTCTGTGAACATGTTCAAGATTGCCCCCGCCATTACATCAGATTTGATAGAACAGAAATCCTCGCAAAAGATCACCGATTCCTACCAAGGATGATACGCGAGGCTATTGAAATTAAAAAACATCCTAATTTCTATAGAGAAGATGAATGGGTGCTGCCATCTGCTTGGGATCCTATAATTAACAAAATTAAATCCAAACCCAAGGATACCACTGCTAGACTTCAAGATACTGTAAGTTCATTCTGCGGAAATCGAACCAAAAATTAATATTAAAAAACTGAAGGTAGCCGGGCTAACTGTGACATCGGGACGTCAAACATCTCAGTCCCCCCGTGACCATGGGTTGCTGTAAAGCACCCGAAACGTCGGGAATTAAAATAGTAAAATTAAACGCGATAAAATCCGTAAAAAATAGTTTTATTACTTGTGTACAAATTCATTATAACTTTGAACAGCATTTTTAGAACATAGTTCCTTATCGCATGTCACGAATTTTACGGATGGGGGATAGGCGAGAAAAAGTGAAAGATTTTTCCGTCACGACCCTCTTTCTATAGTGCGAGCGAGATGTATGGATGGAAATAATATCCATCTTCCTCGCACTTTTTCTCATCTTGCCATGAAAGAAATATTATTTTAAATGACGCTTAATTTTAATAGCCATGTATTTGCTAATCAATAATATAATACTTTTATGAATAAGAATATACTATGAAAGGAACTTCGTTCTAACTGAGTGTTCCACGATACTCACGCATGATTTTTTTAAAACTGTGTTTAGAAAGACGATGCTGCGCATCTCGTGGTTTGTTTTCTTCTGTCGCCTTTTACAACATACACGAGACGATATGGGTCAGTGGATTTTCGTACACTGCCACTACATGGTCAACAAAACAACGGTCACATAGATATTAGTGTTATTATATAAGTAACATCTTACATACTTCAACAGACGATACCTATAATAAACTAATGAGGCATTCGTGATAATCTGAATATTACTTGTTAATTAATCAAGGGAACATTTTACTGAAATTGCCCATGTATATATTGCAGTACCAAATGGGAAAGAAAGCAGCAATCCGAATAGCAGATAAATATGGAACCGAATATACAGTTGGAACGGCGTACGAAACAGTCGGTAAATATAATTGAAATTTACAAAACTGCTATTAAACTTTTAAACTGTTCATCACATTCTTAAATGTATTTACCACGTGCTCGGTGTTAAAGGATAATAGTATTCACCACCATGCATACATTTCTTATTTTTTATAGAACAATGGTAACAATTTTAACGAAGATAGATGTAGATGTCTATGGGCCGCAGCAACCAATTACCATCAGGTGGACTGTGTGCTCGTTTGTCACCCTATCCTATTAAAAAAAAAACGAGCAAACAGTCCACCTGATTGTAAGTGGATGCTGTGGCCCATAGACATCTCCATTTTATTCAATTAAGAATCAAAATACAAACGGGTGACGCCCCTCTACGGTTCTCTTTACTCGCCTTACGAAACACAGCGGCATTAATCTGCTATTTTACGCTGGTATTCCGTGAGAGTGTGGTCCTACCCTGGTTGAGCCGACCCATTCGTGCTCCAACGGTTAATATAGCTGCAGTTTGGCTCTACATGCAAAAAACTAACATTTCTCAAAAAGCAGCACGGCGAAGTAATTGCTACATAATACTCTCAGAAAAGTGAGATGGTCTGTGCCTAGCCTCAGGATAATATAGATATAGCCTTTACTTCACTTTTTTTAATGAATCATCATTTCTATATAATAATCTTCTTTATTCAGGCTATTTAACTTCGGGTGTCAGTGGATGTTGGGTCAAGAGGACTTTTAAGGTTCCGTGAGTATATGATTATTGTTACTTTAAACATAGTATTCAGCAGTTCAATACCCTGTTGTAATCAATCAAAATAAAATTTTTATATTGCGTCAGTTCTTAGACTTACTTTTATATATATATATTTATATTTAAGTGGGTAACAAAGGAATACACAGTTTATTTAATGGTAAGTGCATGTTGCAGCTCTTTTACAGCGTTATTTATTCTCGATTAAGTAATTAAATGCAGAAAACGGTGTCACTCTAAATAGCAAAGATCCTCGTTACCAGTAAAAAGTATTTACGGTTGTCGTCACTAAGAATACAAAATACGGCAGAATTATGCTGCTAATTTTATTTTTTTATGTTTATAATCTGTGAGAATATTCCTTCTACGATATAACTAATAAATTCGTGCCAAAGCAAAATTTCACGCAGCAAGACTTTAATACGTAAAATTGCTACCTAAGAAATTTTCAGCTTCTACTTACATTAAGCTGTGTAGTGGCACCGTAAGAATTTTTCATATATTAAAATCGTCCTAGGATCCTTTTGATAACTCGCATTGTTTTTAATAATTTGAAATGGTCTTTTTTACCCATTTTAAAGAATGCAGGATTATAGTCGCATCCTGTCACAGCGTGAAATCCTGGTAGACTTGTACAAAGAGTTGTCCCTAACCGTAATTCAATATATAATTGAGTAATATTAATGACTCGTTTCTTGTTTGCAGTTCCATATTTCATATAAATATTTTTGTTATCACTTTTTAAATGGTCCATATTTCCTAGTATCACATGATTTGATAAGTACATTGGCAGCAGAATCCGATTCCAATTGACAAACATGATAATAAGATTTATTTAAATACTAGCTGTTCCCCGCGACTTCGCCCGCGTGTAATTTAGGGTTTTTTTTTTGCGCGGAACACAAATAATTTTTCTAAAATACAAGTAGCCTAAAATACTCGCTATAACATCAACTATCTGCCAGTGAAAGTCCCATCAAAATCGGTCCAGCCATTTCGAGATTAGCCGGAACAAACAGACAGACAAAAATTTTAAAAATTGTGTTTTTGTTATAATTATCGTATATAACATCATATGCGTTTAGTAAAAAATTGTTATTTTGACATTAAAAACAGACACTTAAATTTTATTTATTTGTATAGATTTTTAAATTAGTAACCCCTGGAGAAACTGTCTGCCCTTTTGTGAGAATTTTTTATTATATATAATAAAAATATTGTAAAAATGGCGTTGAACCTGAAACCGTATTAGATGCTATCAAAACTTCGGAAAATAACACTTCCAACAGAACTGGTCAGTATTTTGAAATTAATTTATTTTATTTTATTTATTGTCATTTACTAATGTTTTTTTTACAACTGATGAATTGATTTCTCCTCAAAGTGAAGAATTGTTTAAAAGTGACGAATCAACGAAGCGAAAACTAACAAAAATATATGTATTTATCTATATATATGCTATAGATATATTCTTTCTATTATTTTGTCAGAATTTTTTTCATTGTAACTTTGTATTGTTGTACATTGGAGTAATTTGAGTATTTTAGTTGTAACATCTGTACAAGATCACGTGATCTGCAATGAGAGCGCGAAGAATGACTAAAGGCATATCGGCGACCGTCACTTTCTGTCGCACTCATTACAACCCGTGGCACATTTGTCTGCTTTCCTCGCAAGATTTATTTATATATTTTTTAACTTTAATAGTTAAAAAAATAGGAGAAACTGTCTGCCTTTTTGTGATATTTTTTTATTATAATGTACATAATAAACACGCTGTAAAAATGGCAGATTAAATAATACACTTTTGTTGGAATTTTTGAAAATTTAATTTTGGGGTATTTTAGCCCTATGTCAAACCCTTCAAAAGTGTCTGCCATTTTTTTCTTAATTCTTTACCAACATAGCTGACGGATGGTCATTATTATTATTTGAATCAAACACTTTTTTCACATATCGGCGACCGTCGCTCTCTGTCGCCCTCATTACAACCCCTAACAAATTTGTCTCCTGTCCACGCAATATTTATTTAAATACTAGCTGTTCCCCGCGACTTCGTTCGCGAGTAATTTAGGATTTTTTTTGCGCGGAACCCTAATATTTTTTCTAAAATAAAAGTAGCCTAAAATACTCGCTATAACATCAACAATCTGTCAGTGAAAGTCCCGTCAAATTCGGTCCAGCCATTTCGGAGATTAGCTAGAACAAACAGAAAGACAGACAAAAATTTTAAAAATTTTGTTTTTGTTATAATTGTCGTATGTAATATCATATGCGTTTAGTAAAAATTGTTATTTTGACATTAAAAACAGACACTTACATTTTATTTGTTTGTATAGATTTTTAAATTAGTAACCCCCGGAGAAACTGTCTGCCCTTTTGTGAGAATTTTTTATTATATATAATAAACATGCTGTAAAAATGGCAGACTGAATCAAACACTTTTTTTGGAGTTTTTGAAAATACAACTTTGGGATAGTCTGCCCCTATGTAAACCCCTTCAGAAGTGTCTGCCATTTTTTTTCTTAATTGTTTATAAACTTAGCTGACGGATAGTCATTGTTATTATTTGAATCAAACACTTTTTTTTGGGCAAATCTTTTTGCGACTTACCTGTATGCGCAGTACCAGGTGTACTCAGGTAGGCCAGGCAAACAGTCATATACCTGCTTATTGAGTCGACTGATACCTTTAAACAAAGTTTCATGATGCATCAAACACCTCATGAAAAATGCGTCATGAGCTCTCGGACCAATATAAAAGCGGTTGCAAACCCACCTGTAAGCAAGCATGACAACTACATATGTCAAAATTGGCTACAAGTGGTAATATCTGAGGGATATGTAATATGCTCAGCAATCGACTTATGATAGTCTGTAATGAATGATGAAAATAATTATCATTAAAATTTATTGTAAAAAGTTATTTTTAACATATAAGACGCCTCTTAAGATACAGACGCCTCTTAAGATACTTATACTAATAAAATTAACCATCCTGTTTTATTCCATGTTATAAAAGTTGACTAGAAGTGGACTATTGCAAAAAAATCAAAGAAATGGTGTAATAAACATCTAAATATTTGGTACCGCTATCTATATTCACATTGCAAACGTAGCAAATTCCGGCAAATTCTCCTAACTCAGTATAGAAATCTGCTCAGTGATGAAATTTATCAGGCTGAAAACCACGATGATAATAAATTAAACTAAATCGCATTTTCCTAAAGAAGACCTTATGAAAGGCATATTATAAAATTAGTAACAATATACAATGTTATTCTAGATACGTCATTACATTTGAACTACGCGATCAGGGATACTATGGATTTGCCCTGCCGGCAAAGGAAATTTTACCAACATGCGAAGAAACAATGGAAGGAGTCTTGTCTTTACTTTCAACAAAGTATAAGAGGGAAGGAAATCCCTTACCTAAAAGTGGACAGGGATATAATCTTTTAAACACACTTGTGACAATTTGGAATATTATTCTATTTATTTTAACACGTGAGGACTAGAAGCTTCTATTAGATACCGTAGTAGTTGCTGTATTTTTTTCCGATAAAAATGTACGAAGTCCATGTTTCGGTGTTGTGATTGTAATAAAATTACTTACATAATAACTATCATTTTTCTTATTTAGCTTTAATATTAAAAAAAATTGTATTTGGGTTTGTGACCTTAAATATGTTATTGTTTGTATTTTGTTCATAAGTATTATGACATAAACATTATTAGGCCCAGTACGTGTGATTCTAAATAAATTTTACACAATATCTTATTTCAAATTCTAATGAATTAATTTTGAAACAAAAGAAACAACAAACTTTACTCAAAATGAAATAGCAATGGAACGGCTAAATAGCTCAAAGAACCGACAACTAATAGAACATAAAGGTTCTGGAGTGACAGTACCGATATGTGAGTAAAGTATAAAGCGGCGTATCACTAGATGGAGTGACAACTTGTTAAGATATGAAAGATTTCGATGGATACAAGTGCCTCACCGTACTTTTTACTACTTTCAGTGATGATGGTGATGATGATGTTAAAAAGCGTAGGACTTTAATACACTGCAACGTGACTCAATCAAGCTTTCGGTACATTGAATTTAATTTCGTACATTGCGTCTGAGTAACATTTTTCATGCATTTTAATTTTTATATCGCAATGCTTCAAGTGTAATTATCCGTCTCAATATACCGTTAACGTTATCGTAACAGCCTATTAAAGTCAAATGCTAAACATAAACCTACCCCATTATATTGCCTCATAGGGGGGATATTCGCCATAGTTGCCACGCTGGGCAAGCAGGTTTTCAACTGCAGTTTTATATTAAAAAAAACCTACGGTTGCGACTAAAAAGAAATTATTAGAAACTGCTGCCCATCTCCTGATTTGTTTCCCTCTGTCGCCTCTTACAACACCCACGGGATGATGTATTGAATATTCTGTCACCGCACCGCCACTACACGGTACTATGTACGGTCGGTACAGTACGGTCTAGATATACATTATTCCTTTTTTTATTAATTATTATTTTTCTATACTATACTACTATTGACCAGATATGTAGTGATCAAGACTTAGGTTTAGGTTATTTCAAATGTAATGTTTATCAATCTTAGCATTTTTATTTGTAACAAAAAATATCTGCCATCTAATCCCACATTAATTAAATTATAGGTGCCGTACTTTATTGTTTGATTAACAGGAAATTAAGCTATTTCCATCGTTGGTTCCCTATAGAAAGGAATGAATGCTTTATTTATGAACAGCTGCATTATAAATTTAGCAATGAATACGTAAACGATTTTATCATAGGTGGTAATATGACTAATGATCCGTTTAATCGCTTAGGCGTCACGACAAATCGTCAGATCACGTGACCTGTAACCATTAATTTTGAGGCCAACAGCCATAAAGTAATGAGATACTTCGCTTCCCCGAGTTCAAATGAAACGGACGCCACTGAGGAAAACATATTTCAACCGAAAGTTCAATTTATATTGGACGTGCGGTCGTTACATTTATGGCATGAGTGTCGTTTTATTTATCGCCGTACAATTTCGTGCTTTAATATTAGGTTATAAAAGGTGATATTTTGTACGCTTTTCATAAGAATTAAAATATAGCTTTTTGAATATCGCGTTTATTGATGCAATAATTAACCGACAGCACAAAATTTACATTCTCATTTAACAAGTACTAATAACATTATCCTATGCTTTTAGAAACATTTCATCGGTTTGATTTTTTTTATAGGATAGGGTGACAAACGAGCACACAGTCCACCTGATGGTAAGTGGTTGCTGTGGCCCATAGACATCTACATTTATCCTCGTTTGTGAATCAAAATGCAGATGCGTTGTCACTCGTGAGGACTAAGATGGAATGCCTCTTTTTCAGTAAAAAGAGTCTCCGGTTCTCTACACTCACCATACGAAACACAGCAACATTAAGCTGCTATTTTACGCTGGTATTCTGTGAGAGCGTGGTCCTTCCCCGGTCGAGCCGACCCATTCGTGCTACAACTATACTACTAATATAGCTGCAGCATGGCTCTACCACGTGTAAATGTTTTTTTTTATTATGTTTTTTTTTAAATACTGTGTTCCTCTTTTCCAATTTTTTTAAATTTATTTACCATATTACAAAGTATCACAAAAAAACTATCCTAAAAAGTCGCATACAGAAAACCACTAAGATTTGTGATGACGCGACCTGAGTCGACGTTATATTAAGTATAATTAATTTAGTTTGTAAAAAGAAAACCTACAAACTTTTTTCTCAATGCTCAAGAATACCACACTATTCGAACCGAACCCTAAATTTATCTTTTAACATACATCTTTGGCTTATAGATGCGGATGAATGAGATAATCCCCATTCCACTGAAACTTATCCATTTGCAGTCACTGTGCATCAGACACACGAAAGTTAGGGAAAGTAAATGTCTTTGTCCCTCAAACTCATGATAAACAAAAAGAGGAACCTACTTGGCTGGACGAAGGTGGCTGACCCAAGTGCAAAAAAAAAGCGAACCCACTTGTCGCGGAGTGGGATTGGCAAGCTTCCTCGAATTTTGTTGTGTCTAATGGGATCCCCATATCTATTACATGAGTCGTGCGTGATGAGGAGCGTTTGTATGGCGATGCGCCGCGCGACATATCCTCTGCGAATCTAGAAAAGCCGCACAGCTCATGCGGTAGTGTAGCGACTGTAGGGGAGTTGAATGTAAGCAATTATTACGAGGCGCCGTTCTCCGGCCGAAATATGAACAGCGGAGGCATAGACCAGATGCACCCCTGGATACGGGAACTCTGGTGCTTTCGAGTGCTCGACTTTTCTAGCTTCATGAACTCTTCAAACGTTTCGTAAGGAGTTTAGAGTGGGACGAGTTATCCTCTAACTTGGATAGGCTACCTTCAGAAGTCCATAACTGAACATAGGCCTTAAAAATGTCACAAAACATTGCTGAGCTACCTACATCCATAAAATTCCTACATGACTTACGGGGTCGTCACTCCATCTGTTGGGATGCTGCTAAACTGTATACACTTATTGGTTATTTTAGCCGGACTCTCCGAGTGGCATAGATAGCTGAGTGACTGTAATCATTAATCATGCTTAGTAAGCAGATTGGCGGTCATAGTATCACACATCGCAGTAAAGGGAAATACCGTCGAGGTAACTTCTTAAGTATGGCTTTTTTAACGCTGCTCCCTATCGCCGGTCAGAGATGGCCTATCAGAAACCATAGATCTAACATTTAACGAAGTTGCTTTACGATACCCAAGGAGCAATATGATGTGATAAATTCTCTCATACCACCACCACACTATTAAATTCATTAAGTATTTTAAACAATAAAGAGATCAAACCGTCTAAAAATGTACGTTTCTTAAATAATATGTTTACATTTATTAGTTATAACATTATAATTTATGGGTTCCATTATCGGGGCTTGCTTTTATACTGCGTATATCATATGTTATACAACGGATGTGTCATCATCACCGACAGGAAGTTGCCGCTCTATATCCCAATATCAGTTTGATGTATTTTTTAGGTAAATAGAAATTTTACATCTATTTAGTCTTAAGTTACCCGTTAACTTGCTTAAATTTAACGCAATATTCTTTTATGTGACAATTTAGTAGGATTTGTAATAAATAATATTATACATTAACTGATCACAAAACTGATGATGACTGATGACAAAAGATCTTTCTATTAGTAAAAGAGTGCCCAGAAGGGCTTACATTGAACATGACGGTGAGCTACTATCAGCCTTGGGCTTATATCAACAATTACAAACAAAAAAGTCCACGGAATTGATGTCACTCCAGATGAATGAGATGAAGTGATTCACAGCAGAGAGAGACCAACTAACAACTTTAGTAAGATATGGCGGTTTTCACGTGTTACAGATTTTTCATAACTGAAGGTCAAGCAAACGAGTATATAATGCACCCAATTATAGACAGTGAATGCCTATAGATCACATACAGGTTAGGATATCCGCAGTACAACAAAAATGCAGATGCGTTGTCACCCGTGAGGACTAAGATGGAATGCCTCTTTTCCAGAAAAAAGGGTCTCCGGTTCTCTACACTCACCATACGAAACACAGCAGTATTAAGCTGCTATTTTACTCAGGTATTATGTGAAAGCGTGGGCCTTTACCCGGTCGAGCCGATCCATTCGTGCTACAACTATACTACTAATATAGCTGCAGCATAGCTCTACCATGTAAATAAATTTTGTAAGCATGAAAATATTAAAGGTATATTTTTATTTTTAACTAAATAAATTTCTGCGCCGAAAAAATAAAACTACTTAAAACATTATGAAACTGACGCAAGCAAGTCTTAAGACTACTGCAACGAAACTACGACAACGAATCTCGTTAACTTTAATAATCACTGGAGGATACTTTAGATTAAGCAGAAAATTTAAAGATACAGCGGGATTCTTGCCAGAAGCGAAGTGGCCCTTCAATACAATACCGTCGTCTTTGTCTCCTCCGTTTGTCGGAATTGGGACAGTGCAGAATTTATTTTATGGTTTTGACTGGCTTAGACAGTTCTCGCGTTTATGCTTGTGGCATGTAGCAGAGTTGAATAAATTTCTTCTATTGTAATTCGCAAATTTATTACTTCGCTCTGAATGAATGAATGGGAAGTATTTAAGATGGTTTAAGAACCTTACAGAGTTCTTGTTTTGATGAGGCATAAATCTTGAACATTACGTAACATAACACAGATAAAGACATATTATATAACATATTCACTTTATGTATATTTAACGATCATATTCTATGCGCCTATATTATATTATTTTATAGGAGGGTAATCAAAACGAGAATCTTACTTTGCTCTTGGTGGAATTAGTACATTCTTAAAATATTTTAATATGTCAGTCATGTTCGCTTTGGTTTAATACAAAGTTTGCTATATAGTAGGGGCGTAAAAAGACTTACTACTCATACGATCCCATGGCAATCGTTTGAAGC